CATATATATATATATATATATATATATATATATGAGGACTATGTGACAATCAGTAAGAAATTATCCTACAGAGTTAAAGTAAATGTCATGTACTTAGGTCATTGGTTACTGTAAGCTCTTAAACAACCACATGTTTAGATCAAGAACATTTTAATCTTTTATGCAGTATATTGTTATTGTTGAATCTTGGACCAAGCTACTCAAGGGCTATCTGTATCAGTTGTCTCTAGTTTTGAAGTGACAGACTAGAGGTAAAGCAGCTAGGTAAGACAACCCACTGCCTATTCATGGGCTACTCTAATCAAACAGTGATATTTGACTATCACTCTTATAATGCACCCACGATCTCAAAGTGCAGAATGGATTTTTTTTTTCTAGGCTGTAATGGCAGATGAACCACAGATCCTTGCACCCACAGTCAGTATGCTAACCACAGGGTATACATTAAAACAAATTAAGCATAATAACTTTAGCATCAGTCATTACAAGACCATTTAATTTCAGGATCAATAATACATGTGCCAACACTAAAATAATATATTAAGGAGAACACGTGTAACAACAAAGAGGCAGCAGCAGCTACAATTCTCCTAACAAAATTAAATATTAAAAACAACTTCAGCTGTTACTATCCCTTTTTAAAATATGAATACTCTCTATGATATAATATTAACAGTTAATAAAATGTAGCATCTAAACCATAAAAACAATAATAGTCCTTCATTAGTTCAAGTGATTTGGTTCCTTCCTCATCCTCACATATTTACATTGTCCTGATGAGGAATCTGAGGACACTTGATTATCTGGAGGGTGCCTAGGAGTGTATATACAAAGAAACAGGGGTTAAGTTAACTGTTTCTGTGGTGGCCTTTATGCAGGAATGCCTGGCATGATCTGCAGTTGAAAGATCTAGTTCAGAAAAATCCTGGGACCCACAAGGAGATTAATGACACATCCTTAGATGGTCCAGATGTTGAAGATACCCCCCTCTCTCCAACTGAATTGTGAGTGATATAAGGTTTCTTTATTCTATCACTATTTCCGGCATCCAGGGATTCCTGCTTCCAAAATGTTTTGCACATACAAAATCTCCTGGTCATAACTTCCTGGCCTTAGCATAATTCTCCTGGTCATAACTTCCTGGTCTTAGCATGATTTTCTTGGTCATAACTTCCTAGCCTTAGCATAATTCTCCTGGTCATAACTTCCTGGTCTTAGCATAATTCTCCTAGTCATAACTTCCTAGCTTTAGCATAATTCTCCTGTTCATAACTTCCTGGCCTTAGCATGATTCTTCTAGTTGTAACTTCCTGGCCTTAGCATGATTCTCCTGGTCATAACTTCCTGGCCTTAGAATGATTCTCCTGGTCATAACTTCCAGGCCTTAGCATGATTGTCTTTACTACTTTTGTGCCTCATTTAATTTTTCTGTACTTGATCATCTATATCCGGGTTCAACAAATCTAAAAAGGATTTCATATCAGCATTAATTTGCACAGGGCCTTTTAGCAACCTCATTAACTGATGGATGGTATAGTGTCATGCATGTATGGAAAATCTCACTCCATTCCATAAAAATTTAAAAGTTGGCACTTGTAAAAAAACACCCATTGCTCATCACTATATTTTCTGATAGACCATATGAGTGTCAAAAATATGCCTTAGATTCTCAGTCTTGGTCAAAGATGTTACCTTAGTAATGGAATGCATATCCAGCTATTATCAACGTGCATCAATGATGATCAAAAATGTCTTCCCCCCAAAATGTCCAAAATTTAGATACGAGTTTAAGAGTGAGTTGACCACTCCTAAGGATGTAGTGGTGCTTGAATATGTAACTTACAACACTCTTGATATGGGCTACTTGTTCTTACCTTCATTTTAATATCAGAATCCATATTTGGCCACTAGCCATAACTTGCGATCAAGCTTGTAATATGAGAAACCCCTGAATGGCCTTTGCGTAAATTTTGTGTGACCTATTTTTAGCATGGTGATGATATCACAACCTGTACACCCTATAAAAGACACCCAATCCTGCACACTAAACTCTTCTTTCCTGACCTAAATATAAATCTTCTTTTTCAACCTTCTTCAGTCATCCTAGTAGCACAAATTTTCTCACTGAAGAAAGCACAGGATCAGTTCCAGGTCACCTTTTAATCTGGGTTGCTTTTACTGAGATTACCTAAATTTGGTCCATAAGGTGGATAATGTCCTCAGGACAACATGTGGTGTAGAGTGCATAACACAGACAACAGAAGATGACCAAGTGCATAAGTGTCAGCATGTTCTATTCCTGGTTTATACACACTAGTATATTAATATACTGCTAGCCTCAAAACCCAATGCTATATTCATTCTGATGCCATACATTGTTTCATTAATCTGACTCAGTAATGGCTTGTGATCTGTACAAATGGTGAAATAGTGTCCACAAACTTATTGATGTAATTTTTTTTATGCTTGTCACTACTACCAAACCCTTCTTGTCTATTTGAGAATACCCTCTTTCTGCAGACATTAAAGTTCTTGACAGAAAAGCAATACATTATTCTGACCCTTCATCTTATTGATGTGACAGCACCACACCTAACTCATATTAATTTGTGATGCATCATAGGCCATAAATAAATCCTTCTTCGCATCAAGATGCATCAAAATCCAAGAAGAATGCAAAACTTCCTCTACTTTCTTAAATGTCTTTTCTTAGGACGTTCCTCCAGAATACCTAAGAATTACAAAGAATTTCTTAGATGTTTGTTAAAAGCAGGTGTTCACTAAAATGTAAAAAATATCTCTCTCATGCTGCAGGAGTAACTTACCTGGATCTTAGAATTAGTGCTGATGGCCTACACCCAGTTGCACAAACTATATGTATGGCTGTGAGAATTTCTCATCCCAAAGAATTTCACAGAGCTGAAGTTCATTCTAGCACTGGTGTATGCTAACTAAAGACAAATATTTGTTGGACCTGCCTCTGTTTTTCATGTAATTAGAATATTATGCAGGTATCCAACTACACGTGGAATGACTGAAATTAAACTGTTCGCTATTTACAGAAAAATTGTAGGGACAATGAAACTCCAAATGGTAATCTGTTGTATTGAAATAGTCCCTGGTGCATGTTTATTATTAGGTATTAGTTGCTACTCAGAGTTGTCATCTAATGGCATCTATTGGAATGCATGAGTTATATTTACTTTTGTAAAAGTTTTCCCTCTGTCAAGGTTATGTGCAATGTGCCCAATTTTTTTAATGTGTGGTAATTCAAGGTTATAACTGAATAGAGCTATTTCATTTCCATATAAACAAGGGGTTTGTGGATCTAATGTCCAAAAAGAAATATAAAGTGATTTGTGACAAGTGGAATAAAATACACACGGCACAACATAGAAGTCAAAATAAAAATAAAATTGAGCACTTTATTTACTGTTGTACAAAAAAAATGAATAGTGAATACGAGTTGTCATCAAAGTGGCAAGAAAGTAAAGAAAAAAGGTTTTGTTGAAACATACACAATCAGCACAGGAATAGCATGAAACAGGGATGGGACTTCTGCAAGTGAATTTTGGTTCTCTTTCAAATAATGAACTGTCCTTCTCAAAGGTAAAACTAATTCTCTCTAAAAATGCCAAAACTGCATATCACAAAGCACACTCTTCTTGCAACTGACCAATCAGGAAAGGGCACTGGGATACAAAAATATCTTTGTTTGTGACAGCTATATGGTATCGCCACTATTTCCACAAGGTCAAGAAAGGACACAGCACAACTCTCATGGAACTGTAAATAAATTCTCGCACTGATCATGGAACAAAAGTAACACCTCAAGTTAAATTTGTCACATGACCTCCATCAGATTTAGATTGTTCAAAAATCAGAACATAGAGAAATTTAAGAATTTTTTAAATATGAAATACACAATATTGGAGAGTAAGGTATAAAATATTTGCATGTTATTTTGTAATGAGAGACCAATTATTTAAAACAATAAATGGCTGACTTGTGTTTTCCTCCATGTCTGAAACAGCTTGGCAAGGTCTCAGCCTTGGAACTGCATTAAGTGTTTTTTATCTCATAGTGAAACAAATCAAATATTCTATTTTACACTAATATTCTTTGTAAAGTTTAAAATATTAGGTAATAATGATCATTAGCTTTCTAGCAGCAATCTTCAGTAGACTGTTTTATTACGATATGTAATTTTATGCTTTCCTACATGTTTCAATGATAGTTTTGATAAACTACAACTAAATTGGACTTACTGTTATGTAAAAATGCTACAGGCTTTATCTGAACAATATATCTCTGATTTTTAATTGTTCATTTAGATCTACAGTACCAAATTATTTTCAAGTTATGATCCCACTCACATGATCAAAAGTGACCCTTCATGTCAAATACATTTAACACCCATCTGGGATTCGACACACTCATTCTTTAATGCTAATCTTAATTTTGAAATATGCTATTTATACTAGTATAATCTATCATACTATTCTTATATAAAAATACTTTGTTATATTGCTAGTTTTTAGTCAGAGTTTCTATATACTATGGTTTTGCAGATCTGGTTGATAACTGAAAGCATAGCTTTTTCATTGACAATTAATTAAGTAATGTCATTGTATGGCTTTTAAAATTACACTTAAAAAACTTACTTATTTACTTTAAGTGGTTAATTTTTCATTCTCATAATAACTTCTAATTCAAGTTTTTTTTATTTTGCACAAAATTACATGTCCCTAACTTTGAAGCGATAGAATAGAGGGAAGGCAGCTAGTAAAACCACCCACTGCCAACTCTTGGGCTACTCTAACAATGAATAGTTGCATTGACCTTCACCTTATAATGTTCCCATGGCTGAAAGGATGAACATTTTCAGTGAAGGGATCCAAACTTTCTATTACAGATTGCAATTCAAATGCCATAACTACCAGGCCATGCCAGGAATTCAAGTTTCACAAGTGTGTTTTGGATGGTCATTTGATTTCAAGGAATATATACAATAAGATATCACAAGCAAAACTATCTTATAAATATTTTAGATTTTCAACTAGAGTGCACAAGGTGATTCTTGAACTTGTGTTAGCTTACCTCTTTCCTTATTGCTCGCAGTGCAGTGGGTGCAGTAAACATACCTCTTACATGGTGATCACGGATAACTCTGAAATATGTGCCAGCATCTGGAGTGCCAACAGGTTTACCCTGTGGATAATCAGCAAAAATTAAAAAATTATCGTAATGCAAAGAAATACTGCAAACAAGGACTTGTATGTAATGTGAAATCCATCATTTGACAAAATACAATGAAAGAAACAAACAAAGTGATTGAATTGTTTTATTTTCTGTCCTTACTTCAGTTTCAATCTATGAAACAAAATTTTAAATATTAGCCACAATGATTATAGATCCATTTGGACTAGTAGATACATAATAGCTGAATAAGTTGATATTACAATAGCAAAGCAAACAATTCTAACATAGTAGTAGGAAAACTGTTACATCCATGAAAGCAAGATAAGCTAAATGATCAAATTTATGAAGTAATTCCTAACACTACAGAAAAACAACTCACAAAAGCAGCAATCTCACTTTTATCAAATTAACTAAAAAGATTGATAAATGTTAGCTCTACGAAATATTTAGAAACTCCCAGTAAGCTACTACAGTATAGAAAAGAAAGAGCACAGTCCTCAGGAGAACACTGAAACTAATGATTATTATTCTCCAAGACAAAAAAAAAAGTTTTCTCTGAAAGTACATTTGGAAAATGGCATAACTTAAACACAATATTTTGGTTTATAACAAAAACCAACAAAAGATTTTGGATACTTACTTTAATTAAATTCAAAATTGAAAGGATATGGCTAAACAAGAACTATTTTGTTTGTTTGTTTTTGAGATATTCATGTAAAGCTAGCCATTCCTAATTTTGAATAGAAAGACTTGAGGGGAAAGTAGTACAACAACACCTACTACAAGCTCTTGGGCTACTACTGTCTGAGTGAATAGTGGGATTTGACCATCACCCTCATAACACACCCACAACCCAAAATATGGAGCACAATTTTATTTTTTGCAGTAATGGGATGTGATGGATCAGCAGATCTATAGTCTGGCTCAAGCTAACCAGTGAGCCATGCTCAGCCCCAGAGATTACTGTGCTGTAACAGACTTAAAACAGTGCATGAAGACTATTAACATCTCCAGGATTTCATTGTAAAAACTGAATGCTGGGATGATGCAAGAACAGTTGTTTACATAAAGTTTGATAATATAAAATCTACTGACTGACCTCCTTAAGTTATTTTTGTAAATTGTTTAGAACAGTAAAAAATATTTTACTTACATAAAGTTTGATAATATAAAATTTACTGATTGACACTCTTTAAGTTATTTTTGTAAGTTGTTTAGAAAAGTAAAAAATATTTCGACCACTTATTATTTTTAACAACTAATTATTGTAGCAAAACTTAATCAAATAGTAATATCCATGAATGATATTTTGAATTAAATCAACTTACTTCAAAAATTACTGTAGTTAGCCCTGATATCAGGGGACCATAGCATATATATGAATGCCCAACCACCCAACCTAGGTCTGAAGCAGCCCACCAGGTATCACCACTATTCATTCCATAAACGTACTTTAAAGTCCAATGCAAATTAACGGTATGACCTCCAGTAGGTCGAACCACTGCCTAGGAAAAAAATTAATATAGACAAACATCAGCCCACTGTCAATGAATAACGAGGAAAATTCTTTATTCCATAATATCTTTTTATCTTCTCCACGTTATATTCATTCCATTTTAGAGATTATATCTTAAAGACTTGAAAATATCAAATTGTGTCAATTTTATTTTCTTATGACTATTGTATGGATCCAATATATTCTACAATGTTTTAGGCACTATAGATTTAGTTACCTTTTTAAGACAAGATAAACAACAACATTTCTACAGTCATTTTTTAAGTAAACAAACATAAAGAAATGTGTAAATAATACACTGCTGGAGCCATTACATAAACATCAGTCTTTTAACTAAAGAATTTTGATATCATTGTCCACAATAAATGGAAAAATCTTTGATATGGTAAAGCAAAAAAAAAAAAACAACAACAACATAAAACTCTAATTTCTCAGCATAAAATCTATGACAAATGATCTAAATAAAACATATGTTGACAAAATGTGTTGAGCTTTCAATTTAACAAAAAAAAACTGTCCTGACATTCTTAATAATCTGGTCTCCTGCTGGGGAAAGGGTAAACCAAGACATAAAGGGCATTTTTTATTTTCTATTTTATTCTTGTATGTTTTTTTTTCTCTCTGTTATATTGTGTCTGCTAAGTTATTTTGACAACTGACATGGTTTTCTTTATGTATCTGTTATGGACATGCCACTTCTTAAAATTTTATGAAGATATTTTCATATACTGGAATAGATAGAATAAAATTTAATACAGCAACATCAGTGATTGTCAATATTAAAGAATTATTTAAATTATGCAGCAAACCATTTTTGTTTTTCTTAAACTTCTTGATAATAAAAACAATGTGCACAAAAATGTATAAAACACATGACTATACTTTTGAACTAGTTGAACAAAAAATATTTTGTTACCACTGTTTAAAAAAAAATACATAAAAATGTAAAAGATATATGGTTTGTTTGTTTGTTTATTTAGTTAAAAGCTATGAATTTGGTTATCTGTGCTCTGTCCATTGTGTGAAATGTAACCCTGATACTCTATCCACTGTGTGAAATGTAATCCAGAATTTTGGTGTTGTAACTCTTTAAAATAACTGCTGATCCATCTGGTAATGTAGACATATAGAAGTCAGTATCATAGTTATTTCGATTATTTGCTCATTACTTGTAAACTTTGACATTTCTTATTTTTACAATACAAGATTAATTTTAAATAATTTAAAACTAAAACATCTTTAAAACTGCACAAAAGAAGGCCCAAGATTCATTCCCATGATATGCTGCTGAACACACTTTGCACTTGAAACTTTGGGAGTGTTGTAGAACTGAGTCAATCCAGCTGTTCAGTTAAGAGTAGCTATAATAGGTTGCTGTGCCATTGACTGGTTGTCCCCATCTGGTCAACAGCTTTAAGCAATACCCAAACCTTGGAGTCTCTGACTTGACCATTTCTCTCAAATATCAAATAACACGCCATTCAGATTTTAAAAAAACCTTGCAGGTGAACACACCTGTTTAATTATCATATTTTTCTTTTTATCTGTACTTTCAGTGAGATGGTCGTGCTTACTCGAACTATATAAAATATTGCTCTATTTTTTACTTTCATTTTCAATACAAAAGTGCTAGATGGTCTTTGTGAGTTTCAGTTTAAATTATATTTAGCTCCATAAATGTCCCCCCCTCACCACCAAAAAAATTAAGTTTCCAATTCACCAGAAATTAACATTTGTTTTTATGTTCCACTCTTCTGCTCTAGATAATTTTCATTAACAAACAATATTATGATTTCAAATGCAGATACAGGTATGAAATCACATGTACGCGGATAATCATAAATACACCAAATAAAAATTATCGGTATAATGTAGCATCTAAAGATCATACTACACAGTTTAAAGTACTGATAATAGTAATAGGTAATGAATAATATACTCTGTGCTATGCATCAACAAAGATTTACTAATGTACAACACTGCTGAATCCTAAAAACTAACCTTTGGAGTCCCTGTGGTTCCTGATGTATACAAAATATACAGTGGAGCAGTAGCTTCAATGGGAATGCAGTCATGTGTCTTCCCAGTGTTTATGGCATTAGTCCAACAAACATCTAGCTCTGGTTTCAATGAGACAGGTTTCTACAAAAAGTTATGATAAAAGTTTTGATGTATTAAGGAATTTCAAGCCTATAAATTACACATCATTTGGAAAAAAAAGAAAAAAGTTTAGGTAAAGGGTATTGCATTGATTCAGCTCGAGCAAAACTAACGTTTTGTTTAAAGCACTAGAACAGACAATGCTTTTATTTGTTTGTTGTTAAACACAAAGCTACACTGTGAGTTATCTGTGCTCTGCTCACTACGAGTATCAAAATTCAATTTCAAACATTATAACAAAAATATAAACCTTAGGCTTTTTCCTGAGCCATCATGGGGTGGACAGATAAAACATAGTCTATTACACCTTCCATGATAAGTTGTGCTAATTCTTGGTTTATTTCAAATAATGTAAGTATTTTCTATAGTATAGAAACATATTCCATAAAAGCACACTTTAAGTTTCTGTATTTTAATAATTCGTTAATCAAACATGTGACACCACTTAATAATTAAGTTTCCATTTTGTTTTAATGTACTTGATAAAATGCTCAGATAACTATAATAAATGTGTTTTTACATAAATATTTATATAATAGTTTCTACTGTTGGGTGGGTTCTTTTGGATTATTTTGTAAAAAAACAATTGAAGTTCAGCTCTCTTAAGTAGAACAAAATATTGTTGCGTCAGCGAGTCACATGACTACAGTGACGCCACGTTTCTAGAACTATCCCGTATCTTGGC